TAATCCTCAAACATTGTTTATCAGCGCATTACTACCACCGTCTACGAAGGTCGAGCTCTGTAAATTACTCCAAGAGTTTAGAGATTGCTTCGCGTGGAACTATCATGAAATGCCAGGCCTCGACCGAAACCTTGTAGAACATGAGCTACGCATCAAGGACGGGTGTAAGCCTTTTCGACAACCCCCACGCCGGTTCTCGACCGAAGTATAACTTGGCATCAAGGACGAATTAGTTCGACTTCTAAAAGCCGGGTTTATTAGGACTGCTCTATACGTTGAATGGTTGGCCAATATCGTCCCGGTGTTAAAGAAAAGTAGAGCCCTTCGCATTTGCATCGATTTCCGTAATCTAAATCTGGCCACTCCAAAGGATGAATACACAATGCCAATCTCAGACTTGCTAACTGATGTTGCAGTTAATCATGAATTGCTATCTTTCATGGACGGCCATGCCGGTTACAACCATATCTTTATCGCTGAAGCCGACTCCACAAGACGGCTTTCCGCTGCCCAAGGGCACTCGGTACCTACGAATGGGTAGTCATGCCATTCGGCCTCAAGAATGTCGACGCCACATACCAACGAGCCATGAATACGATATTCCATGACTTAATCGGTACAATCGTCAAAGTTTATATCGATGATGTGGTGGTAAAATCAAAGCGCCGCCAAACACACCTGGATGATCTGTGGCAAGCATTCCTTCGCATGCGCAAGAATAATCTCAAAATGAACCGGCCAAGTGTGCCTTTGGTGTTTCGACCAGTAATTTCTTAGGGTTTTTGGTGCACCATCGCGGCATTAAAGTTGACGAAAATAAAGCCCGCGCAATCATTAGTGCCCCACCTCCGACAACAAAGAAACAGCTCCAGTCATTACTCGGGAAGATAAATTTTCTCCGCCGCTTCATCGCCAATTCGGCCGGTAAGATGAAGGCATTTTCTATGCTCCTCAAACTTAAGGATTCCAACAAGTTTGAATGGCGCGAAGAGCATCAAACGGCATTTACACAAATCAAGGTGGCCCTTTCTACACCACCCGTACTAATTCCACCTTGTCGCGGCAAACCCCTTAAACTGTACATTTCGGGAGCCGCTGAATCCATTGGTTGTCTCCTCGCGCAAGATAACAATGTAGGGCGTGAACAAGCTATCTTTTATCTCAGTCGTAATCTGAATTCGCCGGAGCTCAATTATTCACCCGTCGAAAAACTTTGCTTAGCTTTGTTTTTCGCCGCATCAAAACTTCGGCACTACATGCTCCCATCTGTTACGCAGGTCATTGCCCAAACAGATGTGATTCGTTACATGCTCACTCGGCCTATCGTCAAAGGCCGAATTGGGAAATGGACGCTTGCGTTATCCGAGTTCAGCCTACAATACGTACCCCCAAAAGGCCGTCAAAGGGCAAGCTCTCACCGATTTCTTGGCCCAACACCCTTCCCCTTATGGTTTTGGGGGGGGGGGTGACGTCGACATTGGTTTAGTCACAACACGTGATAACCATTGGACTATGCATTTTGATGGTTCCAGTACTTCGACCGCGGCTGGTGTTGGTATTACCATTCAGTCACCCGACCACTACCGCTGGTATTTTTCTCTCAAGTTGGATTTCAGTTGTACAAATAATCAGGCTGAATATGAAGCTCTCATCATCGGCCTCCACATTTTACACGATTTATGAGCATCCCGCATTCTCGTCCTTGGTGATTCCGAACTCGTGATTAACCAACTCAACGGCATGTTCCATTGCATGAGTTGTACTTTAGCGCCCTATCACATGGTCGCCACTTACCTGGCCGAGTCGTTTGAACGGATCACATTTGAACATATTTCGCGTATTCACAACACGGACACCGACGAACTCGCCCAGATCGCCTCCGGAGCACAACTCACGGGGGGCAAGCTAAGCCGGGTAACACCCACAAGTCTGCGATCGTACCCAGCCTTGGTCAATCGGCAAACTCTCCAGCGTAAGCATGTAATACGCACAAAGGTGATGTCGCTCCCATCCTTACTAGAACGGGGAGACCCCGTAGAAGTATGTGTCGTCGAGGTGCAACCAGACGATTGGAGAAAGACGATGTTACGATACCTCGATAACCCCGATGGGAAACACGACCGGAGAACGAAGGTCTTCGCCACCAATTATGTGTCATACCAAAATGAATTATACCGCAAGGGTAAGGACGGGTTACTACTATTGTGCCTCGGCCCACATGAGGCTGCCCAAGCGATGGCCGACGTACATGAAGGAATTTGTGGGGCTCACCAATCAGGACGAAAGATGCGCTGGTTGCTTTGACGACACGGTTACTTTTGGCCCAGTATATTAAAGGATTGCATCGAATATGCACGGAGGTGCATACTGTGCCAAATTCATGGACCCGTGCAGAAAGTCCCGGCCGAATTACTCCACTCGGTTACTAAACCATGGCCGTTCAGAGGATGGGCAATGAACGTAATTGGCAAAATCACACCATCGTCAGGGGCGGCAAAACATACGTGGATAATAGTAGCAACTGACTATTTCACTAAGTGGGTCGAGGCAAGGTCATATGCCTAACTAACAGCCAAAGGCCGACTGGTTACCTATCCAAGTCTCGACCGAGGAGGGTTTTCGGATCCTTATTGGCAAGGGTCATCTTATCCGCCTTCTCGGCAAAGTAAGGTGTCATGAGTTACGACATTCGGCGTATCGGACGCCGAGTGATTTTATGATTGGGTATTCACGGGTGAGTTTTAGAGTTCGGCATTCTGACGGTCGAACCATGTTCACTGTCAAGACATACATTACCTTTGAATATTTGTGTCCGTATAGTCTGGTGTCGATTCGACGTGCTTATACTCTTACGAATATAATAACAGTGACCGAATCAGGCACCGACGATTTGTGAACTTCGTAGAACTAGCAGCCTCGTCTTCAGGCTCTAGAACCCAAAGACCGAGAGTGTTCCTTCCTCGGTCGCAGTCGCAAGATTAAGAAGTCAGCAAGGCGCTCAACGCGACAACAATGAATTTACTCCTCGGCCGAGCACGGTCGACGAGTTGGCTCGCCCCGCATTCAACCGAATGACTTAGTTAGTCGAATAGTTACTCGGCCTGCGCGCCACATAGGCATTGTAATTTATAGGGTCAACAGAAAGTAATGAGGAAGCTCTGACCTATCCGCCTCATGAATTTGACCATAAAATGAACGAATGGGACTAACTTTGTTGTTAATTTCAGAATTTGTAAATTCTAGAAATCGACATCTTCTGGGGTAAAGCAATTGAACAAGTAAAGCAGTTTCCCATCCAGAATAAATTTTTCTTTATTTTCAATATAATTGTACGAACATTATGGTTTTATTAATGAAATAAATTTGTTTAACATTATGATTTTAATATATTAAAGTTTAGTTAATTAAATTTGTACATATTTTGAATTTTTTAATATTAAATAAATCTTGCCCGACGAGAAACTTCGTCTGATAAAGGTTTTTATTTTTATGTTTTTTTAACTTATCATTCGTCGGGTTAAGATTTTATATTTAAATTTTTTTTTATTAATAAAGCTATTCGTTGGGAAATATTAAGGTTTTATTTTTTAAATTACAAATTTAAGTTTTGTCCGAGGAAATCTTTCGTCCGGTAACAGTGATTCGACAGGTCTCTTTGGTCAATGCAGACTTGCCCGACCGAGTATTCGTCAATAAGCTCGTCGAAATTGCCGAACGGATTTTGCTGTTTGTTGGGTAAAATGTCTAGGGACGAATTTTGCACGACGACTTACATATCTCCATCTTCTGAAATGTTAGAAGATGAACTTCTGACACATCCCAATTCAGAATGTCCACCTGAACACCCAATTCGCGATGTGCTAACTGACACCTAGAAGGTGACGAAACCATAAAGTGTAGTGATGTGAAATATATGAATAAATTAAAACCTAAAAGTGACTAATTTAGAGTGTGCATGTGAGTGGGATTGAATCCGTATCACACAATTGATGTTAGAGCATAGATAAATTGTAGTACAATAAGAGTAAGGATATTTATACCAAAAAGAGAAGTCTCCTATGTGACAGCTTTACCAACAATCCTCGTCGTCGCGAAACCTCTGCCACTAAAATCCTAGAGGAGTGAAAAATAAGGGTAAGTGGGTCTGAAAATAAGTTTTATAAAAACCTTTTCGAAAAGTGTAACCCCTCGCTATAAAACAAGTATATGGTTTCCCAAAAATATTACAATAATAGTATTTGTAGGTACCCTACAGCATAAGTGAGTCAAGATGTAGGGTACGACAACAAAGTTTCACATCATTAAATCTCAAACTGTTATCATAAGAATTCAATGCTCATTAATTTATGTAGGCACACAAGTCCATTGCAGAGACATTCGAACAATGGAACAGACTGGGTGTAGGTATTTTCTAGTACTACATCACATGAATTGCACTAGTCACATCATATACGAGTCCAAAAGATCACACAAAAGGTGTAACATCCCACATCGCTCAGGGGAGTGAATCCTCTAAGCCTTATATGTATATTCACATCTTTATCTAGCACGAGGCCTTTTGGGAGCTCACTGGCTTCGGGTTCCGTAGGAACTCCGAAATTAAGCGAGTTTGCGCGAGAACAATCCCAAGATGGATGACCCACTGGGAAGTTCTCATGTAAGTTCCTAGAAACAAAACGGACAATATCGTGCTACGATGGAGTCGAACCCGGGATGTGGTGAGGGCCTGGGCCGGGATGTGACAATTTGGTATCAGAGCCAATCCCTGATCGAAAGTGTGCCGGCGAGGACGTCGAACCCCTAAGAGGGGTGGATTGTAACATCCCACATCGCCTAAAGGAGTGGATCATTTCAGCCTTATATGTATATTCATATCTCTACCTAGCACGAGGCCTTTTGGGATCTCACTAGCTTCAGGTTCCGTAGGAACTCTGAAGTTAAGTGACTTCGCGTGAGAGCAATCCCAAGATGGATGACCCATTGGAAAGTTCTCATGTAAGTTCCTAGAAACAAAACCGCCAGGCTGTAGTTGGGGTCCAAAGCGGACAATATCGTGTTACAGTGGAGTGAAGCCCGGGATGTAGTGGGGGCCTGGGCCGGGATGTGACAAAAGGACAGGATGGCACCTACCAATTGATCCAAACCGAATGTAAACGGTGCATGTGAACTACACATGAAGCTAGTCCTTGACCCAGGACAATACAAATAACTAAGAGACACCGTGAAAACATGTAATAATGAGTAGATCTGCAAGAATGTCATGCCACAAGTTTATGCTCACAAATAATATTAAAAGCGTAAGGTGTACAAAAAGTATACTTGTAAAGCTAAACATGGCATATTACATCAAAATATATAAAAACAGTTATTAGAAAAATCACATATACATATACACATATATATATACACACACACGCGTAAAAACAAAAAGACCCACTCACATAACCAAAGCGTGCTCACCCTCAAAGAGCCTTGTCGTTTGTTGATCCAAATAAGCTTGTTCCCATACCAAGTCACGTTGACTTTAGCAAAGTACTTAAACATAAATCATACCCAAAATGGACTGATTAATTATAATCTGTCCAATTTTCGCATTTTACAAAATTGCCCCTAAAACTAGAGGTAATTGCAAGGATGCTGACAACTTCCTAGAATTACTAAACAGCCCTAAATGTTCAACATTTTTTACAGTTTGGTCCTTGTTGTAAAAACAGTACAGCAACAGTATTCTTTTATAAAATTTCCCACCAAACATGCATATTCTAACATTGTACAATTTCTAACACCTAACGTGATTAACGAAATATACCATTGGGGTTCTCGTCCGTGGTCGCATTTGGCCGGAAAATGGCCTGCAATTCCGTGGTCCTTCGCCGGAAAATCTGAAAAAATGAACCCGAGTTGATTTCTCAACCATTTTTCGTAGAAGAGGTATCAAAATGAAGCTTAGGACAAGGGGAACGTTTTTATACCTCTTTGGGGAACAAAACTTGTTCAGAGGTGACCGGAAATTGGCTTAAAAGCCACGGCCAAAATCGAGTTTTGCATGAACTTGATGGATTTAGCATGCAAGCTCGAATCTGTGGTTAATGGGTTGTGGGAAATCTTCCTACACGCTCAACTCAACCAAACGAACAAGGTTTGGCCAGGTTTTGCTCGGGAATCCTACAAACTCGCCGGAAAAATGGTGGGTTAGATATTCTTCCCTCAAACGCACTGAAACATACATCCATTCTAGTAAAACGTACTGAAAACTTGAGAGAGAGCTTAATGGTGGAAATCCCGAGCTTACCATGGTCGGAAGAGTGATTATTCCATAGGCGATCGTCGAGATACACAACGAAGTTTTATTTTTTCTCTAGGTTTCTCACGGTCAAACAGTGGGTAACAAGTCCCAGAGGCTTTAGCTGATTTTTGGTTGAGTTTGGGAAGTTTTGGAGATGGTATGATGGATGCATGGGTAGTGCCGAGAGGAAGAGATGAGTTGCAGAGGAGAGAGCTACGGGTGCGGTAGATTGAGATGTGAGGGAAATGAGACACAGAGAGAGAGAGAGAGAGAGAGAGAGACCGGTTGTAAATGGGAGAGAAAGGTGAGTATGTAAAAGTGAAAAGAAAGTGAGAATTGATTTAATAATGGAAAGTAATGATAGTGTCTGATGGAGGTGGAAAAGTGGGTTGTCCAAAACCCAAATAAACCATTATTTTACAGGTCAACTTGCATACACCAACCAAAGTGGTTAGCACATGCAATAAAAAAAGAATTGGATCCCCTTCTGAGCTTGTGCTCAGGATTCTTTTGATTACCAAACGTGAACCGTTAGATTTTGATCCAACAGTTATAAACATGAAATCATTTTAAAATTATAATAATTATATCGTTGAATCAAAATCCAACCGTTCATGTGGGCTGATCAAGATGATCTTAAGCTTGTATTCAAGAGAGGATCCAATTCCATAAAAAAACTCTGCACGAAGGCAGATTTCAGTGTCCCAAAAGATCCATGCAGTGGTGCACGCTGCACAAGGAGAAATTCCAAGTTTTGAATTTAGCTTTGGTATTTTTACACAATTTGGAACATAACTTGTTCGTTATAATTTCGAATTGATTCGTCTCTGATCACGTGTTTGTGAAAATAAGTACTATTCAAAAATAGTAAAATATGATTGGAAAAGTGAAGGGAAAATTGAGGTCCACATGACATCACATGGGTATTTTGATAATTTCACTACTACTAGGAATAAAATATGATAAATTTCGGGACGGGATGTCACAACTCCTACTTTAGGGACGCATGTTTTTAATCTGGCAAGTGCTTTATTTTTTGTAGTGTGAGCACTTGCTTTAGTCCAACAATTAGTTTGTCGCATTTAATCAAATACACAAAAGGACAGTTCTTCTCTAGACATGACATCCATTCTCTGTTAAAAACAAATAATAAGTAAAGGGTCATAGTATTAATAGATAACATGTCAATAACAAAATATATATATATGAATGTTTTATTGATACAAAATCCATCGTCTAACAAACGACACTCGTTCTGCAAGAAAAATTCCTACCCAAAAAGGGTACGTATCTCTATGAAAAGTTTTTGTTTTTATTCTTTGAAATGACGAAAATATAGAAGCCAATCGGACACCCAAAATTACAGCAGCAAAAACAGGATATCAAGATTGATCAGACTGACATATATATAAGTTTGAATATCAATTTCTTACCTTATAGATACATATCTCCATTGTTTCCAACACCTGGTCAGAGCCGAGAGAACCAAGAAGCCATTTTTCTGCACTTACACCTGCACCTATATATGGATCGCCGAGTGAGCGAGTGAGTTCATCATCACCAGACATCAGTGCAGTGCGTGTGATGGTACTGAGGAAGAACCCACTGCAGAGACCATATTAGAGGTGCAGGTGCAAATGCAGATAAATGAAACCACCTTGCCCATAACATTTCATTTGAATAAAATAATCTGCAGCCCCTGCAAAGACAGGCACAAGTTTTCTCCATTAATGCGGTATGTCTGTGTGAGATTGACATATATATAGAAAGAGAGGGCAACATATTACATCTTTTTATTATATGAAGGGACAAAAAAATGGCAAATTGCAGTATAAAATGGAAAATGAATATTCTTTTTATTGCAAACTATATTTTACGGTAATTACAGTAAGGTGACTAATTTCAACACAAACTTTTTCTTCGTTTGACTTACGAGCGATATTTTTCAGTAATTACAGTAAGGTAACTAATTTCAACGCAAACTTTTTCTTCACATGCACAACATATACTTAGTTTGGCCGACAAAAGCAAAACAAGTTGTGCATGGGAGCAAAAAGAGCATGAATGATTTTCATATAATAATTTGATTCTCCTTGGTGGCCCTGGGTAAGAATTTTCAAATTTACTAGGGTTTTGGCAAACTGTACCGACTTGTATATATGTATGAGAACAAGAAAGAGCCAAGTACGTAGCGACTGGAAAGAGAGAGACCACTGACTGACCACGTGACGCAATGGAGGGAAGCACGTGGGAATTGAAGTGTGAGCCAATAATATGCGAGTACGTACAGAGAGTCCTCATGCCCCTTCCCCCACCAAAAGCCCGTGATGAAAGTCCACGGACCACCCTCCACTTACCACTAATATCTGCCATTGGCATACGGCATTACTCCACCAACGTCTCTTACCTACTCCAAGCAACCAATTTACCGGATCACCCTGTGTCAGTTTAAATGTTTAATAATATAATATTTATGCATAAGAGCAACTTTATTCTATGTGAATTGCTCTCATTTTCTACTTGAATACGATTACCTAAAAATATTTTCAATTGTTTTTTTGTTTTTGGCTCTTTTCTTGTTTAGAGCAAATCGAACAGAATATCATAAATGAATAAATAAGTACTTTTATCCGCTTTAGTAATACGCTTGTTACTAATTACGAGTGTGAACATCCTTATTAATTTATGTTCTTCGATTTTCTTTAACTCAGTCGATCCGAAGTCTGCAAATTAAGAACTCAGGCTTAAAATTTTAGTTGAGATAGGAAGATGAGATACAAACTCAAGCATACGTTTACTTAGCTTATATAGAAAAACTCTAAATCTTTATCGGTTACAAATCACATTTATAAAATTGAAAAGAGTAAATACTTCTGCCATCTTTTATTTGTTTTGGAGAAAACTTAAAATGTGTTTACTAACACATATGAAATTAAAAAATGAAAAATATGTGGCCTTGCAATCCATGATCCAATATCTGAAAAATCTGAAGTTTGATTGATCAGAAGGAGGTAATCGATCTTTTTCTCATTCCTACTCTCCCCTACTTTTGACTTCTCCGATTCACGATGACTTTTCTTGTTTCATATGAGAAAATAAGTCATTGGTTTTTTCCAATGAGATAACGGAAAATTGGCTAAAATAATGATAAACAAGTTGCCAATATTGGAATGACACTTTTCCATCTTTTTTTATATGTCGTCACATGTCTCCAATTTCTAATTTTGAGCAGTTGAATCATTAAGATTCATAAATCCATCATCTCAACCAATTTCCCCCGACACATTTGAGTAACATTGTATGCAAAACAAACGTTTGGCCCGAGAGGGGGAGTTGTAAAATGCCACAAAACTAGGGCATCTAGCTAGGAAAATGCCACAAAAGCAGAGAACTGAGCCATCGGACGTGGTCACAGCGGCAGTAGTGACAGATCTGCCCGGATTCAGACACTGCCAGGACAAAAGAAAACAAAGGCGAAAACGACCAAAAACAGCAGAGGAAAGTAGGGAAAAAAATATAAGGGTTTTGGGCCATAAATAGAAAGCACATAAATATCGAGGATAATGATGCATGGAGGGCCATAAAAAGAAAGCACCTAAATATTCTTGGCCGATCAAAACTTCAAACAAGAATGGCGTTGAGATCGGAGACGTGGTTGCTTATGAGCGCGGTGCTTGTTGCTCGCTGTGTCAAATTTGGATGTTGATGCAGATTTAGATATAATTGCAAGGCTAAATTGAATAATCGGCCTTCATGGTGATTAGATATTCAAAAGATAACCTTTGCGGTGAAAAAATTAACAACTAAACCTATGAACCTCACGTGCAGCCCTTTGACAGTGACTTGAAAGAAATTTTATTTTGGGGCTTATTTCCTAACAGTTTTCCCCACAATAGTTTAATTCCTAATTTTTTTTCACCACAAGGGCTATCTTCTGAATGTCGTATCACCACGAAGACCATTTATCCGATTTGGCATAATACAAAACACTCATGTGGGGGCTTGAGATTAGTGCCACTACGGATTTCCTTTATAGGCTGCAAATCTGCATAAGAAAACATGCCTTATCACCGGTTACAAACTTATATACAATCATTGGACTATCTCTTATCACGTGAGTCGTGTCACGTGTTGAGAGCAATCAACGCATGGTCATATACAACCGGTGATACCCAATAATGCTCAAATACAACTGGTAAAGCACAGGTTCATCAAATTTATGTGTTTCATACAGAAATTTTTTAGGCAAATTCACACCAAAAAAAAATAAAAAGAAAAGCACTCCAGAATCATGCTATCATCTCAATGCAAGGGGATCATACTTTATATTTCCTATGTGTCGATGACAACTTTAAACAATGGATCGTTCACAGGAAACCAACGATACATAAAATCTGTCAGAAGTTAACGTTTGTATCTACTTTCGGTGCACGTTATAACATTTACTAGACCTCAGAAAACAATGTTTTATTTGACTGTACTTGTGTCCAGCAGTCTGATTTGGGCACAACAATTGCTGTATTTACATATGGTCACCAGCAACATACTCACCCTCTGTAACTTCAAATTCTCGTCTTAACTGCTCGATGTTTCCTCTTCTACTACCTTAAAATTTATTCATGTAAAACCCAAATTCTGAATGGCAATACCACCGTAACCAGGATTTAAAATTGCAAATATATTCGGTGTTCCTTAACAGATAAGATGCAGCAGTGATGAAGAAACAACTACTTTGGACAACATAATTTACTGGTTGACCTTACATACTGCAACAGCAGGTGCATGGAGAAAACCCTTAAATGACAATGTGGGATGCAAAGGCCGAACCACGGTGGAAGATTTGGATCTTGCACTCAGTGCTAGCCTATGGGTTTGGAGATTTGTCTTTGTGAGAAACTTAGCAGTGAGCACATGGTCTGACCTAATAATTTTGCCACCTGAAATAATCTTTTCTGGATCTGAACTTACAAATTCCTCCTACAATCCAGACCCAAAAATAAAAAACTTCCTCCCACACTATCCTATCCAAGCAAATCTCTTCAGGCAAATGACCCAAAGAAGTCATTCTCTAGGGTATGAGTATTTTCAAATTGCTCTAAATCGGCTAACAAAGACCAGTCTGAATTAAAAAGAAATGACTGAATATAGAAAATCGACTTTCTGAAAGGAAAGATCACAGTACCTAGACGATTCGGCAGAGCATTATCTGGAAGACTTCAAGTCATCTGCACGTTCTTCTTCATCAGGAAGACACACTGGGTCGCATTCTTCTTCTACTCCGAGCAACCATTACCATTCTAAACACAATCTGCACTATCAAGGTGGCAGGTCTCACATAAAACAAAGTTCTCTAAATTTTCTCATCTTTCAAAAACTTGAATTTAGAGGAAAGAAAATTGTACAATGCAGGTCCCTTCATTCTGTATATGGTTAGAGAATGTCATGTCACTCAATCAAACTAAAGCAGCAATCATAGGGCTTCTAGAGGCCACTGAAAATCTTGTAAATACCATGAAGCAAAATCATAATGTCAAAGCATCAAGGAAACAAGTCTCGAATAGGTGAAAGGTATCTTGAGTTTTCAAAAAGATAAAATGCAATCCAAGAGGCAATAAACGAATGCTATTTCCACATGAGGAACAACACCCAACCAAAACGTTACAAGAAATAAAATGGCTAATAAGACCTTACATAAGTACAAAGAAGACAAAATTATCTTTCATACCCATTCAAAACAGTTACAAATGCAATATCTATTGTCAAAATATCACATATTTGCCTTCATTAACAATCAAACCGAGTTTAAATCAGCAGACAGAGCACTGCTAAAAGATTAACTATTGCCTCCAATCTGTATGCTAGTTATCTTAATACAGGATAAAATCTTGAGGCTGATAAATGGGATGTTTATGCTGCACTGCACTATCTACAACCTGCTATTCCAAACAGATCATTTGTTCGTACTTCATATAGGAAAATGCTAATTGTCATAATTTCTTAGTATTTGTTCAAATGAACATGACAAATCCGAACCATTAACATTCTGACCAAAAAAATTTGTAAGTACATAATGGAGACAATTATAAACTGAACCTACCTACAAAGATAAAAGTAAACCATACAACCTCCAAATAACCAAACTTCTTATCACTCTAGTTCATCAAGTTTGATCTCATGTTGTTCACCAGAAGAAAGGACTTTCACACTCACCATACCCCTCTGCCACTCTGATTCTCCCACCAATATCAACCTATTAGCATTTATCCGTGCTGCACGCTTGAATACCCTGACAGAGAACAAATTCAAATAACATATTGGAAACACAGTGACTGATATAGAAATCTACAAGCACCACTAAGGGGGCAGGAAATACCATTTAAGCGGTTTGTTCTCCAAGACTAAATCAACACTTTGACCTTTCCCCCTGAGTATGGTGGCAACTGTTGCAGCTGCTTCTTTAAGTCCAGGATCAAGAGCACACACAATGTTCTCTACTTGCAGGCTGAGTTCCGGCAGAAGGCCCTTCTCCTTAAGCAACTGTAATCCCCACAAGAAAATATCAAATAGATGGCAAACCAAAAAAAATTGGGATAAAGAAAAAAAATTAGTGGCTAAGAATGAAGAATATTTAAATACTAGGAGCATTATCCAAAACATAAATTCAATTCTAGTAGGTAAAAAACTTCATAAAGCAAGGAATAGGATATATATATTACATAAGTTTCAGCTTACTTCCACTATGACGGCATCACCAAATCCAAATCCACAAGCAGGAATGTCATCACCACCAAAAGTAGAAAGCAAGCGGTCATATCGCCCACCACCACAAATGGCCCGTAACTTTCCTCCTCTATCAAAACCCTGAAAATAAAATTTATTTGTCAGGAACTATTTTCTGCAGTGACAAAATTGGAAGCAATTTTATATACATACAAGGTAGATCTAATCACCATAATTAAGTAATCATGCATTCATAAAAACAGTATGTCATATGGCTGCTTATTTTGTCTGTCACCAGCACAAAAGTTTGTTGTTACACATAGGCACAACAATGCAGAAGTTCCAGTATGTTCTACATCTGACATTTTAGGGGGGCAAATTTTCACGTCACTTTTCAGTTGTTTCATAAGTAATGACAGTATTACAACCAACTTTTCACTTCACACCGAACAGAACTCTAAAATGTTCCAGTGTAGTATTTGACAAATGCTACTAAATTTTGCTCACAGATCAGTTAAATGCATTTCAGTACTTCCAAATTCATAAATGTATAAACTGGCAGTGAGATAATGTCGAGAAACTACATCCAAAGCAGACTGATGCCCAAAATAGACACGCAGTAACATATACGATCCCCAGGACATTATTCGCACACAAAAAGGTAATACCAGATTATAAAGAAATATCATCAACTACCAGGAGCAATAAACAACTAAAGAAAATGGAAATGATGGTAGAACTCAAATCATTCTACAAGCATGACTAATATCTGCAATGTCAAAATTTTAGGAGGGAAAACACGTGGAAATCCTAACCTCGAAAACAATACCAGTGTAGTAGGCAAGGCCACGAACAATAGAAGCATCAAACTGGATCCATTCAGAATAACCAAATTTGTCAGCAAGAGAGAATAGCTGTTTCAAATCAGCAACTGCTTCCTGAGCATCTCCAAGAACCTCTACATATGAAAACATTGAAAGCATATTAATAATCACCCCATCACCTTGGAAACTCTACTCACAAACGATTGACAAAATAATCCGACTACTCTTTGAAAAAATTATACAGTTCAATTTATTGTGGCCGCAATTCATGTTAACTCAAGTCTGAACCCACCTCCTCACTATCCTTTCCCACTTTCAAGTCTCAACATTCTTTCACTTCTCTCTGATCTACGAGTAACTACTAACTCCTGAATTCATCATCACCGTTACCCAAGATAATTGTCTATTTCTCTCTCTATTCATTTCTTATAGAGGCACCTTAAATAATTCCTTTTTCTCATCTAATAAGTGTTTATCCACCTTCACCTAATATACGAAAGCTTAGTTAAGCATTATCATTTTCAATATCTATGTTACATTACATTATCTTGTTACCTTCACTAATGTTCCTCGACCATCAAGAGTACTTGTAATTTCTAGCAGTTAAAGCTTTTGCGTTTAGCTTTTAACAAACAAATATCACAGTAAAATAAATCATTTGTACAAAAGTTCACTGATCGTAAGAGAAGAACTGGTTAAAAATTTTGATTATTCAGAACAAGTGCTTGGGAGAAACACGAGTCTCAGACAATCTCAGGCAATCAAATCGGGTTCATGCCAGGACGCTCGACTATGGAAGCAATCTCTCTCTTACAAAGATCAATGAAATGATATAGAGATATGCAAAAGGATTTGCACAAGATGAAAAAGCGTATGATAGGATCCCATAGAACTTCTTTGGAGGATTCTAGAGAAGAAAGGAGTGCAAGTAGAATATATCCAAGCAATAGAGGATATATATATACGACGGAGCAAGGACTGTATAAGAACTCATGAAGGACAAATTGAAAGTTCCCATAACCATAGGGTTATACCAAGGCTCAGCATTAGGTCCTTACTGTTTTGCATTGGTAGTGGATGAGGTAATGGGACATATTCAAGATATATCCCTGGGTTGCTTTTGGCAGATGATATAGTGCTAATAGATGAAATGAAGAAGCGCGTAAATGTGAAACTTAACCTTTGGTAAGAGGTGTTGGAATCTAAAGGTCTTCACCTCAGTACGTCGAAGACAAGAGTATATGGAGTGCAAGTTCAGTGGGAATGGGGTCAAATGAGATAGGGATAAGGATTGGAGATTAGAAAGTACCAAAGAGTGAACACTTTCACCATCTTGGATCTATCTTGCAAAAGAACAAAGAACTGGATGGAGATCTTAACCATATAAGGAAACTAATGAAAAGGGCTTGAAAACTTTGAGTTTTAACGATAAGAACAAAATAAAGGGTAAAGTGAACAGTACAAGGATTGACTTTTTAATGTAAAAATATGGTTTTTCGTTAAAGTGAACAGTACCGGGAGTTTTTCGTTAAAGTTCCCTAGAATATAAGCTGATGGATTAAAAGGAAGAGTGCATCCGGTGTGTTGTACGATTTTCGTAAGCCAGAAAAGCTCAAGAAATTTTTTTATAGTATGGCAATAACGCTAGCAATGCTTTATGGCACAAAACGTTGGGTGGTCAAGCATCACCACGTGCAGAAAAAATGTGTAGCGGAGATGCGAATACTTCACTGGATGTGTGGTACATGAGAGATGACATAATTAAGGGCGAGGATATCTATGCTAAAGTATGAGCAGTTGTAATTGAAAATAAGATGAGAGAAAAGTGGTTAAGGTGGTTTGGACATGTGAATCGAGGACCTACAGATGCTCCATTTAGAAAATGCAATTATGAGATAGAGGCTCAGGTCAAAAGGGATAGAGAAAGACCTGGAAAGACTTGGAACGAGACTTTAAGAAAAGATATGGAGTACTTGGAGCAAACGGAAGACTTGGCGCAAAACCAAGTTCGGTGGCATTCTAGGATTCATACAGTTGACCCCGCTTAGGGATAAGACTTTGTTGTTGTTGTTGTATTTTGGAATAAGTACTACTTACCAAAGGTTCCCATCGGCATACTAAAACTTTTCGTAAATTTTATCCAATCTATAGTCTAATAATCTACTATCAAACTTACAAGTGATGTCATTGCTAAGCCAATGTTTTGAAAACGTGCCCCAAGGCGCGCCTAGGCGGCTTTGGAGTCGAGGTAGGGGTGAAAACATCTATGCCCTGTGGGAGTAGGTAAAAACTCACCTAGACATGGTCGAGGTGTGCATTAGGCAGTACTGGGCGTTTTCTTTTTTATAAAACTTCTTAGCCTTCTTCGTTCGACCCTCAAGTCCTCGACAACCTAGCGTTGTTCTTCTTCTTGCGAAACACTAAAACCCTCCCTTATCTTCTTCGCGCGATACCATCAACTGAGTAGCACCGCCACGACCCAGAAAAAAGGGAAAGTGAGTGATGTATATGGACTATATTAATGTTGCAAAATGAGCGGATACTGGCAAGAGAGAGAGAAGAGAGAACGTACAAGTGAGAGAGTGTACAGAGGGAAAGAGAGTGGGTAGGGGATGTGTGTTGGACCATATTAATGTTGTAAAATGAGTGGATATTAACGAGGGAAAGACTTTTTTTTTACCATTTTTATTTCAATGTATGTGGACCTATTTGGATGAATGATTTCTTTTTTCGCACGTTTTTTAGTTGAACTTGTTTATGACTTGTGCACTTTTGAACAACAAACAATATTTTTATGCAAAATATTATAATTTATATATGTAACTATATATAATATATATTTATATATAGATTATAAATTTTAGGCCTCACGCCTCAAGGCTTTCGCCTAGGCAGGGCTATCCATGAAACACCTCGCCTACACCTTCGCATTTTAAAACATGGGTCGTACTACACAAAAGCAACCTTTTTTAATCAATTGAAAATTTGCCTCTATGCAGCACAAAAAGTTTTGATCTACAAGGGCGTGAGCCGTGTAGGATACCGAAATATTTAACATACCCTCTTACAAGTTTATATGCAAACAGCTGGATATTTGTGCTGCTCTGAGAATACATACGGTATATTTTCACATCTTGGAGAGGGGGGAACACGGTTATTTTACCTTTTATTGCCAAAAACTTATATATAAATACTTTCTGAATCAATATTGTTAAGACCAACCTTCCAGCTTTGTCAATGACTTTATGGAAAGAATTTGCAATAACTGTTCAATAGCCTCTTCTGATACACCAGCAGATTTCAACTCATTTTTTATATCATCCACTGGAATCTTCTCTATCTGTTTACAATTCAAATCAAGAAAAGAATTAGAAACTTGTAACAAAAGTCTATATTTTTTGTTAGGGTATATGATCATGCATAAGAAAATGGAGAAAATATTGTATAGAAAATATCATATTCATTGTACTATCAGGCCAAGAGCAAGACTAGATTCTGATCCAAAATGCATACAAAGTTCAAGGACTCTCAACATAAAAGGCACATGTAGATACTATACTCATACATATGTGCATATACAAAAGCAGAACATCATACTACAATTATTGAATGTAAAAGGAACTTAAATATATCGACATGAACTAGCAACTAGCATACTTCAAAGCAAAAATTTGGAAGAACTTTTTCAAAATCTAATAAGTCAAAGTTATTAAACTAACAAATAATCTTAGTTTTTCTTCTCAGGAATGTATAATCAAACAAATACAATGCCATCCTGGCTTTCACATCATAATTTTTTTTAAAAGAACAATAGTAAAAACCCAGAACATAATTAGCTGCAATCCAAAACTTGCAACCTTTCACAATTTACCTTGTCTATGATGATGCAAACTTTGCCAAATAAAGATTCGGGTATGGAATAGCGCCTCAGTACTTCTTGTAAAACCTATAATATAGAAATGTTAGGCCAATAGGCAGTAGTCATAAAATCAAAAATTTTAGTATTTAAAAATGACATGAAAACTCATTCAGAACAAACAGTGGGAGAGCTTTTCCAAAATAATTGGATGTGTGAGTTTCTTTTTCGATAAGTAACTTGAGAATCATTTGGTAATATGATGTGAAAGACCTCTCAATCAAGTAGCCTAAGTTCATGCCATGAAATACCATCCGCACCTTACGACTTGAAACCTTAAATCCAACATCTGATGCCGTAATTCCTAATCGCTTGAAGAAAGTGACAATTGAAGAAATAAGTTCTGCTTCAGCCTAGCACATGAAGATGAAAAATAAAAAATAAAACTAAGGCTTGTTAGGGAAATGCATATAACACAACATACACAAATACAACATCATCTGAAACAGATTGAAATTTCAATCAAAGCAAGAGTAAGAGGTATCACAAAAAATTGCATAATCATATAAGCGATGCAGCGGAATCAGCTCCATACCGTAACCTCAGGTACACCAATAATATCCATATTCCACTGGTAATGCTCCCGACGCCGCCCCCTTGTCATCCTCTCGTACCGCCAACACTGCCCAACGGCAAACCATTTCAATGGCAGGGACAGAGATTTTCTGGACAGGAAAAAACAAGGAGATCAAAATTTTTGGCTTCCGCACCTGGATATAAACAAATCACAGAGTAAATAATACATATATAGATACACATTATACACTTGTACAACCAAGTCTTTAACTAGCAAAGTAACACTATCAGCAGAATCAGAATCGCAGTACCCTTTCTGTATCACCAGCCTGGCCAAAGAAGGAGTGAGCTCCGGCCTCAACGCGACGCGACGATTGCCTCGATCTTCGAAGCAATACAGCTACACAATACAGTGCAATGTAGGTATATGAATATATAAATTTATATATGTATGTATGCAATTCAAATTCAAGCAATGCAGGTAAAAGAAACGCTGAGAAAATCAGCATACCTGGTCACGAATCTCCTCCCCTGCTTTTCTGATAAACAGCGCCTCCGTCTCAAGAACCGGAAAGTCGACCTCTTCGAAGCCGAACAGCCGCGAGACCTCTCTGAAATTGTAGAAGAGCCAGTTGCGGAGGCGCATATCTTCGGGCGGGAAGTCCCTGGTGCCCTTGGGAGGGTTAACGTCGATCTTCTGGAGGTCATCGGTGGCCGGCGCCGGAGATAGAGCCCCGAGGCGACCGCCTCCGGTGGCATTGGGGGTGAGAGAAGAAGCGGCCGGGGAGAGTAAAGAGAGGGGTCTAGGGTTTGGGGTGAGAGGGAGTTTGGGGAGGGGCAGTCGAAGAGCGCGAGTGAAGGGCTTGTGGAAGATAACGAGGGAAGACGAGACAGCAGAGAGCATGGCGACGGTGGTGAGGGCTCGATTGTCTTTTCGGCCACTTGGGTCTTTGGTTGTTTTGATAAAAACGCAGAGGAATAGGTTGAAAACAACGTATGGATTTGGCGGGGGCCCAAATTGAATAGTGAAGGCCCAAATATTTTTAGTAGGATGCCAAACAAGCCATTGTTTTTTCGAAAAAAATGGAGTTAGGCCCGGTCCTCGAGGATTGAGGAACACCTTCTCAAGGAACCTCGCGGCCAACTTTCATAGTTTCTTTGTTTTGATTAGAACTATTTATATTATAAATCAATATATATAAATTATTTTTACAAAATATATATTTGAAATTGTTTAATTGAATAGTATAAAATAAATAGTCAGTATCGTTAAAAGTGTGACGAGTCGTATATTTATTTACTACAATTGACTCACCAAACAACTTTAGTTTTCATTGGTTTTGTTTAGAGATGATCTTTGTTGAGGCTCCAAAATGTCTTAAAAGTCCCCCAACAATGTTTCTAGAATAATTTATGATATTAACGATTATGATTATAAGTACGAAATTCTATAAATCAATCACAACGTATCTTGAGGAGAACTCCTCCTCAATATTAACAAATCAAGATTCTCTTGTTTTTCTTGTTAAAAATCATCCTAGTGTGGATTCCAAATTTTCATTCTATGGTTGAGATATCATAGTCCACAATATAAACATTCCTTAAATTTTTAATTTGTCACACATAACATGACGTAGCATTATTCTAACATTATATGTTATAGTTCCTTATGCGTTAAATTCCTGGCTCTCTATTCTTCAATCAATCATGCTTATTCAAAAATAAAAATAAAATAAAATCCTCGAATACTATTGATCGTAATTTTTTCAAAAAAAAAATGATGACATTAAGGAGTGAGAAAATAATTGCAAAATAGAGTGAGAAAATAATTGCGAAGTCGTTAGTGGAATTTACAACATTTCACTTATAAATAGAAAAAATATTACCTAACCATATATAATACTAAGTGGCATATCGACTTTATGTTAATACACACATGTATATATATATTTCTCATCAACATCACCATTCATGTTTATCACGCTTCATATTATTTATTATTTTCTCGATTGTTCATGAAACACGCATGTGCATCCAAATTTCACCAACTGCATACATATGCACCGACCCATTTCATATATTTCAATTTCATTTTTTGACGTTTCTAGATGAGTGATCAAAACAAAATACAATGTAGTACACTGTAGTACTCTTCTCAACAGGTACTACTCTCTTCTGGCATGCTTCAAAGCAAAAATATCATTTTCTAGATAAATTAGCTTCACCTACTTAATGAAAATTAGGCAATCATATTTCGTTTAGGCATTCACTTTCCATAGGTCATGTTCAAAATGATGATTACCATTAGTTAATCGTACTCGTAAGCTACTAAGGGTAAGAATAATCGTCCAGGTCTTATTGTGAAACAAAAAAACCGCCCCGAGTCTAAAAAATAAAATAAAGAAACCTCCGGTACACCACCCGGCGTAGTCTCTGGAGCCCTTCTTCTATTTCTCGAATTCTTTGGGTGGTAGCTTGCTTCCAAGCCCTACCTTATATAAAAGTTGTTTATAATTTGACGTGTATTAATTTATGCATGCTATTTTCTTTATGAAATTTGAACTCAAAATGTTTCTTGATTATTTGACATGTATTAATTTATGCATGTTATCAGTTTAGGTCGGATGTCCCAAAGAAAATAACAAAAATTTTATTCATTTAAATATAAATAGAATAAGAGACCCATCATTAAAATGAATAAAAAAAAAAATTTAACTTTGATGTCATGACTCCTAATCACGAATGACACACCCCAATCAAGATCAGGGCATGCTGCCCGTCGCGTGGAAGTGACGTAACCATGTGCACAGTGCGGAAGCAAAATAAAATAGTAATATAAATAGTACGGATAAATAAAACTAGCTTACATAAAGTAATAAAAACAAGTGCAAGCGTAAGTGCGACACTTATTTCAGAGCATAAAGCTTAAAGCAGTCCAGGAGAAAATGACGCAACAAAAGTACACCCGAAGGTGGTCCTACGCTGGTGATCATCTGTCAGATATGCCGGGGAAATCCTCAGGGAAACCACCACAAGTGCTAGCCAACTAGAACCTGGAGGGGCGCAAAACAAAAGCGTGAGTGGGCAAAAACAAAGCTTTTCAAAAACCATTTAATAAATAAGTTCTAACCCCTCGCCGTAAAACCTGTATACTTCCCAGAAAATAGAGTATATAAATATATAAATCATGCTCAGGAATACGCCATGCCAAAATCTCAAGGTAAAATGCAAGTGCTCAGGTAAAATCGAATCAATATTATCTAATCTGTCAGTCGGAGTCACCTAACGTGACCTGTACGGCTGAATCTAGAGCTCAAATCTCAATCTCACTATCTATACCTGCACACGAGTCGGAACCACCTAAGGTGGTCTGTACGACAGGACTGGGTGTAAAATAAGTACGCTCTAGTGCTACGATCACGTGAAGGCTGGGCGAATAATCGCGGGTCACCTACGAGTCAGAACCACCTAAAGTGGTCTGTACGACAGGACTGTGCACCTAACTTGGATCCAATTTGAGCGTGTGGTGCGGGAGGTGAACAACACGTGAAGGACTGTGCCCAACTCAGGGCGGGAGCACTGACACCGGGGGTGCAGGTTATGAGCTCTCTATGTATCACAAATCACCATTGAATGTAAACATAAATCACAACTCACCTGGCACTTACCTATGCGTCCGCAGCACCAATACACACACATATATAAATGCAAGTAACTATGCATAACAAACGGCAATATAATATATGGCATTTAACGAATAAACATTTCAAATCATTATCTGGGAAAATATAAGTATATAGGTATATACGGAAAACCAAAAGCCCACTCACTGATATGTGGAAGGGTCGTAACCCCCCTGCCTCGAGTGACCACGCTCGTCCTCGGGATAGGTATCACCTATATGCAAAACAACTATAAAAACGTTAATTTTAAAGCACATAACCCAACTTAAGAAATAACTTCTCATACAATGCTCAAATGGGGTGTATGAATACACCAACGTGATCTACTCAACCTCAGGAACATCCCCATATTTTTAAAATAATTTTTCACCGTCGCACGCGCCCCCACGCGCCGGCCAAGGCACGACCACACGCGCAGGCACGTGCCTGGCACGCTGACGGCATCAACTGACGTCGTTAGGAATATTCCGTTATTTATAACGGTTTCCGTCAACGGCATCAGGAATATTCGGTCAAATTTGACGGAATATTCCGTTGTCTTCTCCAGCGAGGCTCCGGCGCCGGAAAATCGGGAAAATTTCAAACCTTTGTAACTTCTTCGTTTTTCACCCAAATTTCACAAAATTGGTACCAAAATGAAGCTTACAACGAGAGGAACACAATCATACCACTTTCAAGTGCTAAAATCTGCAAAATCTCACCTGAAAAATCACCCCAACTCCGGCCAACCTCGAAACTCGTGATCCCAACGTCCAAAACCTTCAAACGAACCACCCCGAGCCTCCTAGGGACCTCACCAAGCTCCCTACAAGCTTGAAATTCCCAAAAACATGAGAAATTACGTGTGCATGAACAGTACCAAAATCGGGCAACCCGAGTTCAACGTGAGAACGAAGGTATTCTTACCTGAAATGGGTATGGTTGAACTCCTACGAGCCTCACGAGCATGGATATGTACTTTATACCTTCGATCTGTGAAGGTTTGATAGGTTTGTGTGTGTGTCCGTACGATGGAGGAGGAAATGGGAAGGGAAACTAGGCACGGGATAGGGTGCAGGGCAGGGGAGAAGGGTGTGGGGGTAGGTTAGTGTGTGTGTGGCCCAAAAACATGCCAACAAGGAACCCAAAACAACCAATAAACGTAAAGAAATCGCACTAGGGGTAAAATCGTCTTTTCACGCGTACGTTTTTAAAATTTCCGGGACGGGCTGTCACAACGAAGCTTTCAAATCCAATCAACAAATAATACTTCGGTTGGATAGACATTTAATAGGATTTTGACATTTCCCTTGGAGATGTAATTAGCCCATCTCCAAAGGAGATTTCAAATTTTACACACAAAATTTAAATTTGAAGGCTTATGTGGCACATTGATCTTTTTGCAAATTTTGTTCTCCAACCAATATGTCAAATTTAAATTATTATTAATTGCATTATTTATTTTTCATAATTGTAATTAGTATTTTTAAAACAAAAGATAATAAAAAAATTATAAAAAGACATTTATTATCCACTAAAAATAGATTTGAATCTACTAATTTGACAACAATTCTCTTTCCTGCCATTCAGTTGGAAAACATCAATAATGTCTTTTTTTACCATTATTGTTGATATGGACTTTTTTAAACATTTGGAGATAGGCAATCATTTTGGTTTAGGCATTCACTTCCTTAGTCCATGTCCTAAATGATGGTTATCAAACATTTCAGTGTCTCATTAATTGTCACTTATGAAATTCGAACTCAAAATCTTTCTTGATAATTTTATGTGTATTAACTTATGCATGCTATTTTCTTTATGTTATCATTTCGATTAGGTCGGATGTCCCAAATAAGTTAACATCATTTTCTTTGGCATTGGTGTCAAGTGTCCCCCATTGCTTTTCTACCCAGCTAGCACAAGATGCCAACATATATCCCACCGGGCGTCTTAAATCCCTAACACAAGAGCCAAACTCTGTAACATCTCCCTAGCTTATCACGAGCCAACCTTCCTCATCAAGTTTCCTCCCATACCAAATGTCCTGCCAAAGCTATTTGAACTTTTAGTGGCCTTTTGAATCTTTTCAAGCTTAAGTTAACATCATTGCCAACTATTCTTCCTTTATCAATTTGTCTTTGATGACTATTATCAGATAGTATTAAAAACAAGTTCAACGGGATTTATTGACGCCTATATATGATTTTTGCATTTTCATTCATCATAACATGTACAATATATAATCAGAAACATTACATGTGTTATAAAAATCCGACTTTAACTTACTTTTAGTAGAGTTCAAATGTCATTCGTTATTGTATCTATACATTTTTTTGGTTCGTGCCTTGGAACCCATAATTGGGTGTTGCGGTTTGGACTGAACTTGATAATTACGAAATATAGTTGATGTTGATGTTGTAGCCGAAACCAAATGCGACCATAATACGCAATTGGAGCATCGATTATTTAGGGTTTGGTCAATGCATGCATAATTGCATACGATGCTAAAATATATAGATTAATTTTCCAACATTGTTTTGGATTTTATTGGGAAGAGATAATGACGTTGAATATCTAGTCAAAGTTGCACTTAAATCGAATTCTAATGGGTGATTCAGTCGTCATATGACATTGATATTGATGAAATTGAGATTTTATCATAAAACCAATTGGCAATATGGGAAGTAGTCCAATACCATAGAAGTACATAGCAAAATATGGAGAGTAACCCAATACCATATAAGCACATAGCAAACCTTGTCCCTCACCGATGTGGGACAACTCTCAACACGCCTCCGCACGTGTGACGGATTTTCAAGCCTACACGTGGACAACAATTGGGTGACATGGAGAGCGAGTGGCCGTTTAGCTTCACACGAGGACAATCCGCTCTGATACCAGATGAAATTGAGGTTTCACCATAAAATCAATTGGCAATATGGGAAGTAGCCCAATACCATATAAGCATATAGCAAACCTTGTCCCTCACCGATGTGGGACAACTCTCAACAGATATTTCAACGCAGTCTTTTCGGATTGCAAACTCGAATGCTCAGTCCATATTACATCATTGGCATTGGGGTAATTCGCAAAGTTGTCTTAGGTTTAATGATTTGAGTTAAGCCGCAAAATAATCAATCATAAATCGATATTATACTCACTTTTAAGAAAAAATTGAGATTTCTTGATTGATTACAAGTGATGAGTAATACAATAGACCGCAGTGCTGATGTAGACAAAGTTATTTTTTCGGCTCCTCCTCGCACATCAAAAATGTTAAAATTGAGCTATCGATCATTTTCTGATTCCTCCTCAAGCATTTAAAGACTAAAATGTCGAAAATGAGCTACTAATCTTATTCCATTTTACATGATTACTTGCTGTTGCTTCTGCATCCATTTTTCTTCACCATTCATTCATGACGTCTTAGCACGAGTTCAATTTTGTTGTAATTGTATACGTTAATAAAGTCGAGACTCCTAAAATATTTCAAATTTGAATGGCGTATAAATGAGTAATCCACCAATATACAAATGACACTGAACAAGAAGAAAATTAAACGCATTAAACTTGAATTCCTTACCTTTATTTTTTATTTTTTCAAAAGAAAGACGAAAAGAAACAGATAACCTACTATGAATATTATGAATTAATGTTGGAATTTACAACATCCCTCCTCTCAAATAATAACGGTCCAGAAACTGTTTACCATCGTTTTTCATGGTGGAACTATTTAATTCACCTTAATTATGTTTAGTTCACCTTTAATTCTACTTAATTGAACAATAAAAAGGAAGGAGGTTGATTGGACACGTCAGGGTCTAGTCAGAATTGGCTGACTTCTCACGATGCCGTCGTTTCTCGACAAACGTTAGTCCAACACGGCGGCATTCTATGAAGCCTGTAGTGCAACAAGATAAATTTTTTTAGTGGGTTGAAAATATGATTTAGCACATTAAATATTATAATATAATTAATTAAATTATTATTTTTAATTTTTAATCAGTTGTATCAATTTTATTATTTCACGTAGTGTAACAAATTAAAATCGTGTTCTCGTGGTACTAAAAATCTATGGTGCCACAGCCCGTCTCTGCTGACTGCAACCCCCATCATCATTCAACCCAATTAAATATCATACGCCCCCCAACCCCCACCCCATACTCATACCCACCACACGTCTCACATGCATACATGCACATACCCCCATACATAAACATACATAAAAATCTTTGAAAATTCCCACATTTCTCAACAAACCCACCTCCCTCCCCTCTCCCTATATATTATCATCCTCCCTACCTCTTTCCTAATTCTCCAATTCACCAATTTACCCCCCAAAAAAAAACACAAACACTTCTTGTTTGTTCTCTCTTTTCATATCGCACGCCCACGCCACCAACAACTACCAGTCATGGGTGAGGTTAGTAAAAATTAACCAAAACCTTGTCATTCTTCGTCACTAGTAATAGTTTGCTTCCACCAAAGTTGTTTGTTTTAACGATGGTTCTGAATGTCCTCGCAGGAAAAGGAAGCGCCGAAGAATGACGGTGAGAAAAAGCCGGCTGACGCCGCCCCCAAGAAGGACGACGGGGTGGTCACCGTCGTTTTGAAGACCGACATCCATTGCGAGGGATGCGCCAAGAAAATCAAACGAGCCGTCAAGAAATTCGAAGGTATGTCATCACGAATTATCCACCGATTTCGATATCAAATTTTGATCACATGACAGATTTGAGCTTGTGTGTTCTTATCATTTCTGCTTTCTTAATTGGCTTTTTGGATGATGTTGGTTAGAGCAGTGTGCCCGTCGTCCCCTTCTATCAACATAATATAGAACATTGTAAAGAAAAGGTTCGGATTTTAACAAGTTCGCCGGACTTCAGACCACATTGAGTCTCTGAGATTTTTCCTTTTTTTTTTTTTTTTTTTTTTGAGTACCAAAAAAAGGGTCTAAAATCGTTTCATGGAAATTGGAAGGGGACCATAAATAAATAAATATCTATTAATTTTGGATAAGAGCTGAGCCTTTTTCAGGCGTTGAAGCAAGGGAAACAGTTCACACAAATTTGACTTTAATGGCGTACATGCATTTTGCATTATATTCAAGCTTTAATTTGATGGTCTAACAACTATTTACGTAACAAACACGTTTTTATTTTATTAATTGATTTTGGCTAATTTGGTACTAATTTTTGAATTAGTATAGGCGTTGAACAAGTGAAGACGGATAGTGCAGCCAACAAAGTGACTGTGACTGGGAAGGTTAACCCCGCCGGGCTTAAGGAGAAACTGGAGCAGAAGATTAAGAAGAAGATCGACCTGGTCTCTCCTCAGCCCAAAAAAGATGGCGGTGGCGGTGGTGGAGACAAGAAGCCTGCCGCAGAGGGAAAGGCTGAGAAAAAGGATGATGAGAAAAAGCCAGCTGATGAGAAAAAGCCGGCTGAAGACAAAAAGCCCAAAGAGGCACCCAAAGAGGTAATTTATTGACATTCATGTATATAGTAATAGCTATGTAGGCTGGAAACAGCTCGAAATTATACATTCTCTATATATTAATATATTAATTTTGCTGTTAAATTTGTTTCTTTTTTGTTGGGTGGTTTCAGAGTTCTGTGGTGTTGAAGATCAGATTGCATTGTGAGGGTTGCATGCACAAGATGAAGAGTAAAATCTCCAAGTTTAAAGGTTAATTCCAATCGATTCTCGTACTTTCCATGACTTGAAGAATAGAATATAGAATTTGGATTATATTAATTTAGTCAGAACGATGCACGCACGCCACTGGCACCACGCTATTAAACTAATAATATTTTACTAGATTTTGTAAAAAGACTAATCTAGATTAATAGAAAATTAAGTCATAACGATACTTTGAATGCTGAATATTCAAATCGGCTAAAAGCATTCGAGCGTTTTTGCAATATTTGTTTTTTATGATGCATGTGCTTGACGTTATAAAGATTTTAAAGACTTTGTGATAAATTTTAAAAGGTTTATGTAAAGTTTATATTTTCGTTACCAAAAGTTGTAAATATTCATGGGCAAATTTGTCATTCTATTATCTAACAAAGAAGTGGATTATGGTGTTCGCAGGTGTTAACAGTGTCAGCTTTGACGCACCCAAAGACCTGGTAATGGTCAAGGGATTCATGGATGTAAAGGAACTTGTACCCTACCTCAAAGAGAAGTTCCGGAGGGCCGTGGAAGTGGTCCCACCCAAGAAAGATGACGGCGGAGCTGCCGACAAGAAGTCAAAAGACGGCGGTGGTGACAAGAAGGAAAAGGAAGCCGCAGGAGGCGATAAGAAAGAGAAAGACGGTGCTGGTGAGAAGAAAGATAAAGCAGTCGCAGCAGGTGACGGCGCCGCCGCAGGAGGAGGAGGAGGAGGAGGCGCCCCCAAGATGGAGGTGAGCAAGATGGAGTATAATGGATACCCTTACCCACCTCCTTCTTACTACTGGTACGACGAAGGGCACGTTTACAACCACAACAAGTTTGTCATGGAGGCTCAAGCGCACCAGGCGCAAGTTAGCCAGGGGTCCTCTAGCCATGGCTACGCTGTGCCGATGGAACACTACCCTGCGCCGCAGATGTTCAGCGACGAGAATCCGAACGGTTGTTCGGTGATGTGAGTGCTGAACCGATCGACCGGTGGTTGGTTTGACGAAGCTTTGAAATTAAGAAAAATATTATATAGAGGGTCAAAATCGGAATTTCACAAAAAATGTATATATTACGAGATGCAGCTAATACAAGGTTTAATTATGAGTAGGAACTGATGGGAATTTTGGACTTAAATACACGGTGTAGTAGGGTTAGACCGACCGGGCGGCCGCCCAGATGAGGCAGCCGGTTCAGATGTTGGGTTTGGTTATTGGTTAGTATAATATAATTAAACTTTCTGCTAATTTTTTAGTTGTATTTTTGATACTTTTTAATAAAGATATTAAATCTTATCTTAATAGTCTCCTCAATTTTAAATTTTTTATTAGCAAAGTACGATATTCAGGAATTAATAAAACGTACAAAGTAAGGATAAGGTGCATAAATGAGCTTCGATCAAAATTTTACCGGAGATTTCAACCCGATCGAAGGAAAAAAATAAAAAATAAAAAAGTCCCCGACAAACAACATCCTCAACCGTATAAACAATGGAAACTACAATGGCCTTTCTTCCACTAATAAGTCATGGAGTAGGTCAGGGGTATCATCCAACTATACCGCATCACTAGTTCCTCCAATACCTGAACGGGCTAGTCGGTGTGCTGCATGATTCGCGTCCCGATTTGTGTGTCTGAACTCACAGTGCCCAAGTGCTTGTAGTAAACCTTTTGTGTCTTCAATAATAGGTCCAAAAGTGGACTGATCTTCATGCTTTTGTTTCAACGCTGCAAGGACAAGGCTGGAGTCTCTTTCGAATATTATTCCAGCACCGCCATGGCTGCTCTGCACCAACACCAGTGCAACAAACCTCGCTGCTAAAACCTCCGCGTGCAGCGGAGATATGACATCTCTGTGCCTTCCTGAAGCCCCTGCAATAAATTTCCCTGGTGGTCTCGAATGATAGCTCTCATTCCGTCGCTCCTTGAGCTTTCCTCCCATGCCCTATCAAAGTTGCATTTCAAGAAACCTGAAGAAGGAGCAATCCATTTCTGTCGCGCTTTGCACAATGATTTCCTTTAAGAGAGCATTGCCATTTTTGGAGCGTCTGCAACCATTCTTCTGCCTTATTAATAATCCCCTGCGGGTTTGGTTGAGTTCCATTTCACATGGCATCATTCCACAAGCTCCAATTCAATTTCAATATCAGCTGGTCTATACGCTTAGAGCATGTTGGAGAGCATTGTATACCCCAACGAGGTGTAGGGGGATTAGTTTATCCTCTCCCAGGGAGAGAGCATTGTATACCCCAATGGCGCGTACTGGGATTAGTTTACCCTCTCCCAATTGGAGAGTAGACCCAAATGGGTGTTGAGGAATTAGTTTTCTCTCTCACGCTAGAGAGTAGACCCCAGATGGGTGTCAGGGAATTAGTTTACCTTCTTGTTGGAGAGCAGACCCAGATGTGTGTCGGGGAATTAGTTTACCTTCTCGCGCTGTAGAGCAGACCAAGCTGAGAGTTGGTGGGATGAGTTTACCCTATCGTGTGGGAGAGCAAACCTAGATGGGTGTCGGGGATTAGTTTATCCTCTCTCATCAAAGAGCAGATGTCACATCCCGACCCGGGGCGGATCACTTCCCGGGCCCGCTCCACCACCATAGCACAATATTGTCCGCTTTGGGCTTACCATTCCCTCACGGTTTTGTTTCTGGGAACTCACAAGCAACTTCCCAGAGGGTCACCCATCCTGGGAGTGCTCTAGCCCTCTTCTCGCTTAACTTCGGAGTTCCTACGGAATCCGAAGCCAGTGAGCTCCCAAAAGGCCTCGTGCTAGGTAGAGATGGGAATATACATTTAAGGATCACTCCCCTGGGCGATGTGGGATGTCACAATCCACCCCCCTTAGGGGCCCGACGTCCTCGTCGGCACACACGCGACCAGGGTTAGGCTCTGATACCAATGTCACATCCCAACCCGGGGCGGATCACTTCCCGGGCCCGCTCCACCACCATAGCACGATATTGTCCGCTTTGGGCTTACCATTCCCTCACGGTTTTGTTTCTGGGAACTCACGAGCAACTTCCCAGAGGGTCACCCATCCTGGGAGTGCTCTAGCCCTCTTCTCGCTTAACTTCGGAGTTCCTACGGAACCCGAAGCCAGTGAGCTCCCAAAAGGCCTCGTGCTAGGTAGAGATGGGAATATACATTTAAGGATCACTCCCCTGGGCGATGTGGGATGTCACAGCAGACCCATATAGGTGTTGGGGAATTAGATTACACTCTCACATTGATGAGAAGACCCAGATGGGTGTTGGAGAATTAGTTTACCCTCCTTCTCACACTAGAGAGCAACCCCAAATGGGTGTCAGGATATTAATTTACCCCTTCGCACTAGAGAGCATGGAAGTCATTGTTGTGAGTGCAGCTGAAGACAACTGGATTGCTGCATAATATAATCATATGCATGTGATGTCTTGTTCGGTGATCTTCTTGAGACTTCAAACTGCTCTCAGACCTTGTCCAAGTGTTGCACCGTCCTTAGATGTTTTACCATGTACTTCCTTGAGGCTTAGTTGGTGGTCAACTGAGAATTTGAATTGATTGCAAACTTCCTCATCGTTAAGTCTTTTGCTAGCCGAGGGGCTGCTGGTTAAAGCCTCATGTTCTTCTTTGTCGTTGAATACTTTGAAGTCTAAAGCGTTGTGAGCCTAATAGGTGCAAATGAGAGTTGTGGAGCATAAGTCGGCGCGGTTGGGAGTCGTGGAGCATAAGTCAGCACGGCTGGGAATCGTGGTGCAAGATAGGCGCGACTAAGAGCCACGTAGCAGGCATTGTCATGTATGGGAGTTACGGAGCAAGATGGACTCAATTGAGAGCAGGTAGGCATGACCGTGAGTTGTGGAGTTGAGGCCAGCTTGGGCAAGTTGCACAATAGGAGGAATTAGGCCACTAAGTTCGCGGTACTTATGCTTCCTTCCACTTGACCTTACAACAATTCTACCTAATCTCTCAAAGATCAAGTCCTTTCTTGTCTATTTGACCAAGTAAAAGGATTTCTAATGTCTTAGCTGGTGGCTAGGGTTTTGGGTTTTTACCCATGCGTTCCAGGTTTGAAACTCATTTTCCTGAATTATTGTAATAATTTTACACTCGCTCCTTCTCCTTAATGAAAGTAATTTGAAAAAAGAAATATATATATATATATATATATATATATATATATATATCAAGTTGGTTTATAACTTGAAAAAGAAGTTACAGAAAAAATTGCTACAAATCTGTTCTGCTGGTGGGGAAATAATAGGTCAAGGACTTTATCACTTTGTGGTTTGACAAAGACTCATGTCACCAAATGCTATCAAAGCACGATTAGTGCCCTTAACTATTAGAGTCATTTAAAAGGGTGATCCTCTCATACCCTTCATTACTCTGGGGATGACATCATGGGATATTTTAAATATTATAAAAGCATTCCCAAATCATTTTCTGTTGATTGTAAAACATAGACTTTTTTTTTTTTGGACAAAGATTGTAAAACATAGATGATTGAACGAAAGAATATCATATACAAAAGACAAAATAAAAAATATTAAAAAAAAATTAAAAAAAAATTAAAAAATAGCCATAGGAGACGTGAAATTAGGTGCATACTTAATTTCTTAGCTGAATGAGGACGATGGAGCAGCCAATCATTCTGAGGATTTGAGGTTTCCATTACGCGTCTGCATGCATCATCATGCATGCTCTTTTGCCAGTGACCCAGTTGCGCCATTGAAGTGTGTGATAACGATTTTAATCAGCAAAGAAAAACAGTGTATCATGGTGATAAAACCCCTAAATAATATGATATATGTTAAACATTTAACAGGAGAAGGAATGTCACTTACAAAACCACCAGGGCATTTCTATATATTTCAGTGTCTCACCTACGTACCATTGTTTCAATTAATCTATGGGCATGTTTGGAAGTCACTTTGAAAGTAACTAAAAACGCTATTAGATCAATAATAGTGTTTCTGATAGTGCTTGACAAAGAAAGGTTATAAGTGCTTCTAGGTTGAAATCATTACTTGAAGTGGTTTCTAAAAGAAGTATCTAATGTACGATTCCTTTAGGAAACACTTACATTTTTCATAAAAATTCGATGAATATAAATATAAGCGTTTTTACAGATTCTGAGCCCATATAAGTATCTCTATCTCTATATATAAAGGCAGCACCTCAGGTCCCCATAATGGGGAAACAATCAAACTACAATATATTACCCCTGAAGAACTGCAAAATTACAAGTAAATTAAAAAGAGTTAAAATTAAAAACTTTAGAAAAAATAACAAAAACACTCCACTTTAGTGAATGGTTTATAGGTGACTTCCATTTTCTTTTTGAATAACCTTTTTTTATAAAACAATATATAAATAAAAAATGTAATTTCCTAAATCATTTTTTTTTTGTAAAAAAACTTATTTTACATACCAAAGTCAATTTGTAAGCGTGTGATAAGAGACTTTGTATTTAATATCCAAATAAACGTACTACATGTCTTAATGTTTTTTGAGAGTATATGATCGTCTTGGTTACTGACAAAAATAATGGTGGTGGAAAGAACAATGACCGTGATGATAAAAGCGACAGCAAGATAAAGAGGCGGCAGTGACCATAAATTGTGAAATTGGTGATAATTCCGACTATGCCAGTGGTGGCACCGTGGTCTAATTCTAACGTCATCTTTTAGGATTATCAATAAATTAATAGTAACAAAGCTACCACATGAGTTGTAATTTTTTTTGCCTAGTTAAACATGCTCCGTAATGACACACTCCGACCGAAATCAAGTCATGCTGGCCATCACAAGAACTTACAGAAGGATTCAAGGATTGCAATTTGGGGATTACTAACACACCTTGACCGAAATCAAGGCGTGTTGCCCGTCACAAGAACTTACAGAAGGATTCAAGGATTGCAATTTGGAGATTACTGACACATCCTGATCAAAATCAAGGCGTGCTGGCCGTCACGCCTTGATTTCGGTCAAGGTGTGTCAGTAATCTCCAAATTGCAATCCTTGAATCCTTCTGTAAGTTCTTTTAAACAAGGAAATAGAAGTGTTTTTTTATTAGGAAGTTCAAACAAGCTTAATTACTAGTGCAAGTGGTAGATTGTTCTGGTGGTTGAATCAATTTTTTTTTCACCTGCTCTTTCTCGAGTTCAAATTCTTCACCTATAGTCCTATTCCTAGCTAGTTTATAAGAATATCGTATGTGTTATAAAAAAGCAATTAAAAAAAATCATTTTAAATGATCAAGGCCACATCAAGAGCTTAGTTAAATACGAATTCAATATTAAAAAAATTATAATCTAGC